TGGAGATTATATTGTACTCCGTCCATTTTATAAAGGTTTGCTAATAAGACTGCCAAGTTCATCAGAGTCATCCAATCGGTGGGTTGCATAGTGCAAATGGACCGTATGCTCCAGGGGCGCACCAAATCATTTCACTATAACGGCATGTTTGATTTCGTGTAAAACTGTGTTCTAGAAAACATTTTTATATGAAAAAATTATCTCATGTGGTCAAGTGTAGAAATATTTATTGATCGATTAGTTGCCAATTGGTGTGAAAAGATGCACTAGAACCAATTGGTATGAAAATATAATTGGTATGAAAATATTCCTACACATTATTGCATGAGAGAATTTTTTTCATGTCAAAATATTTTTTAGAAAACATTTTCATACGAACCAAGTGAGCTATAACACAACATATATAATACGTTCCCGCAGGAGCAATAATGTATACAAACTCCCTCAAGCACAAAAGCTACTTGGAGATTTTTTTTATCTACATTTTTCTCCCTCAAGCACAAAAGCTACTTGGAGATTTTTTTTATCTACATTTTTGTGTATCTGCTTTAGAACAATTAGATATTCAAAAAGAAAAGATAAAGACTTCGAGTTTGTCGATATTTATGTTGCTCCAAAAATGGGACAGTCTTATGTATGATGTAAAAATACTCCACATTGCTAGTCAATAAACTTATTTTCTCTGGGATTGTATATAAAGAGACCATTTACCTTGGGTACACGAATGTCACAATTACATACAACCATCCGATGTGAAATCTGATGGCTTGGTATGTCACAAAGTTCGAAAAAAATTCGTTTGAACGATGAGTTTGGTCAATGAAATAAATACAGCCACCAAATTTCACATCTAGTAGTCAATATTAATTTTGACCACTTTGTACCAACGTAAATAGTCTCATTCGATACTTTCCATTTTCTCCATTATTTTTTCCCTTTGTTTTGGGTCAACTTTTAAAATATTTATGTTGAAGCAGAAATTGAGAATGCATGTACCATTTTCCTAGGGAATGAATTGTACATTTGTTTTCTTTGGGCACAAGAACCACTTATTTACCTGGGGATGGCAATGGACCAGTTGAATTACACAGCGTAGCTCGGATTTGGCCAGGGTCAGGGCCAGGGCCAGTCTAGCCCTAAGGGGAACAGGGCCAGGGCTGGTCCAACCCGTTGTCTTGCTAATGATAAAGAGTAACACAATGAGACAATACAAGAGTCTAGGGTACACATTTCTTATTGATGGCAAATTTATTACATGGATGATATTCTTATTGCCTGCTTGTTACAGAGAGCATTAGAGCACATCATAGTTCAGTTGAGACCACAAAAAACATGGTTCAGTTGAAACCACAACAAGAAACCACAGCAAATCATTTACAACATAACCCAAGCCCCAAAGATGACATGGCTCGAGGAGATCCATTAAATTCAACGTACTTGTTTCGGGTCGACAGGAATACCCTGTGGGTTCCTAAACACATTGTGAGGGTCAACATGGCTCTTTACAGTAACCAGACGATCAAAATTGTTCTTGAAATACCTCTTTCCCCATTTTCTTGCAGTTTCCACACTTGCAGTTCCATTTCTAGCAGCTCCTAAGTCCATGTCCAAGTAATTGACATAAGCCTCTCTTGGGGACTTGCTCACATAGGGCTCCATGTAATCATAAAAACGTTTGATCCAATTCATGTACTTGTAATCATCCTCTTGTCTTTGCCAATTTACTATATACTGGATGCCATATAGGTTACCTTTACGGTGTGGAAAAGCTATATGATCTTCCTCAAACTCGTCCATTTTCCCACCATAAGGATCAAGAATGATCGTCCCGGAAGGCTCTTCCTCGAGATACTTAATAGCACCCTCTAGAGAACTAGCATTCAATGGTACTTTCACATAATCAGATTTTGCCTTGAAAAATGATTTACCCACTAAGAACCGATTAAGCAAGTCCTCTTTGGTGCTCCCATCTGGCAAGCCTGAGAAACGAAGCACAGAATCAATCCATGGCATCTCTTTACATATGGACTTTCTAATGGCTAGGCTCCTGAACTGATCTCTCATTATCCTGACTGTATCATCAACACCTCCCAGATACATTCCTAGGAATGAAACGCCAATAACATGACTCGAATTAGCCGCTAAAGTTGCCGAGAGATAGAACTCTTTAGGCAAATTGTGGGCCACAACTTGCCATTCACGAACCAAATTCATTACTGTTTCATTTCCCTCTCTCTTAGCTTGGAACACAGTCACTTTTCCATTGATATCAGCTAACCTAAGCTTCCAAGCGACTACTATTCCCCAACTCCCACCACCACCACCCCTAATGGCCCAAAACATGTCTTTGCCCATTGTGGTCTTATCCAATAGGAGCCCGTCGGCATTGACCACTAATGCATCCAATATGTTATCAGCAGCAAGCCCAAATTTCCTAGATAGGAGCCCAAATCCCCCTCCGCTAATGTGCCCCCCACTTCCCACTGTGGGGCAAGATCCGGCGGAGAAACCATACCGATCCTTACTAGCCTTTGCTATGTGATAGTAAGTCTCACCTAAAGTTGCTCCTCCCCCGATCCAAGCTGTTCCTTCGGCAACATCAACGTCCACCTTGTTCAGCCTCATCAGATCGATGATGACAAATGGTGAATCCCCAGTTGAGGAGAAGCCCTCGTAGCTGTGGCCCCCGCATCGTGTACGTATAAGCCACCCATGTCGCCTTGAGCACACCACAACACTTTGTACTTGGATGTTGCTTGAAGGGAGAACGATAACATAGGGCATCGGGGTGGACGGCTCGGCAAATCGAAGATTTTGTATGGAGAAATTGAGGAGGTTGTAGTAAATTTGGGGTGATGAAGTGAATGTGGTATAGTTTATCACGCTATTGTCTTCCAAACAATCTAGAAGGCCACTCTCCAAAGTTGAAGCCATGGAGGGTGATGCATTGAGAAGAGAGTAGAGTAAGGGATTAAGTAAGGCCACGATAACAAATGTTGTTAGGGTAGCCATTGTTAGAGGAGAATGAGCTACGATTGTTGCCATGCTTCCTATTTATAATCAAATTCTTAGTCCATGCTCACCGTCCATTATGCAGAATGCTAGGTACGAAGACAATAGTTTGAAGGATTAAAACTTATATTATAGACGCATGTTGCCATTATCCATTTGATTAGGTGGCCTTGTAATCTTAAAAGTATTTGGTCAAGGCCTCGTAAGACCCGATGTGATTAATAAGAATAGGGAATAGTCTTAATAACCAAGGAACAAATAGTTGTACATTTTGGACTTTGAGATGAGATCATGGCCATTTGGGACATGGTGCTAATTAAAATTTTGTTCAAACTAGAAGGGACCCTTGTTATTATGTAGAATTCTTTCATGCGGCGAGGATCTCATTTCTACATTTGCGGTTATCGAGGTTAAAAATATTCGTCTAAAAAATGGATGCAAATAGGTAGTTCATTTTAAGACAATTGAAACTAACGGTCCAAATGTTTTCTTAATAGAATTATTATTTTTATTTATCAAAATTTATTTATTTATTCATATTCATGATCTCCATATTGGAGATTACATGTCTTTAAATATTAAGTCCAAAATTCCATCTCAAAATTAGATTTTTACGAAGTGACTAATTTCTACATGGGCTCATAGAAACTGTGTCCTATTACTATTGGAATATGTATACAATGAGACTATTTACTTTTAATCCCTCAGTTTGAAGGCTTATTTGGGAGATTTTTTGGATTTTTTAAATTTTGCTAACCACCTAAGAATCTCTAGATAATTATTTTCAAAAAGAAAAAAATTAAAACATTCGAGTTTTATGATATTTAGATCTCAACTTCTAAAAATTAAACGGTCTTTATTCCATCTTGAGACATTATTTCGTTTCATATGTGTAGGGGATGAAAATTGGAATCTTTTTATTGATATTAATCTATGTGTTGAAGACGTTATATCCCTATATTTACGGTCCTAAAATTAATCTTAGAATAGGTCTTAACTGAGGGAGAAAATAAAATAAAAATAAAAATTCAAACTTCAGTCCAAACATATTTTGTTCAACACTAAGTCGAAAACGTGTAAATTTTAACACGCAAGCGTAAATTGTCCATGTTTAATACGCAAGGTGCACATGCTTTTTAAACTTGAATGGTCTCGCACGCATTGTATATGTTAATAGACAAGTGATGAGGATAAACATGAAAACCTCAAGCAAATAATTATTAAATTATTAATTTTAAAAGAAAAAAATGAATTTTGAATTTGTTAAAATCTGATAGTTTTTCTTTAAAACTTAAAATTTGAGATAGTTTTTTTTTTTAAAATTGTGAGATAGTTCATCCCTCTCAGACTTTTTACCTCTCTAAAATTGTAACACACTTTCTCTCTCTAAAATTTTAATATACTTTTTCTCTTTAAAAGTTAAAATTTGAGATAGTTTGTTTTTCTAAAATTTTGAGTTAGTTCATCTCTCTAAAAAATTTAGTAATTTCTCTCTCCAAAATTTTAAAATAATTTATCTCTCTAAAAGTTAAAATTTGAGATAGTTTTTCTCTATAAAAATTTTCAGATAGTTTCTTTCTTGAAAAAATTTAAACATTTTCTCTCTAAAATTTTCATACTTACCAAATGCTCCCTATATTTCGGGTCGAGGGAGCCAATAAATGAAATCCATCGGCTTTAAAAATGTAAAAAAATAAGTTTTGGTATGGAAACGAAATCATGAAAGAATTGGTCTAATTTCCATGATTTTGATTTTCTTGATTTTAAGTATCTAGTCATTAAACAATCCAAACAGTAAATTTTGACAATATCCATAGGGTTAGAAATCTATGTCTTAAAATCCATATACGCAAAGAGACCCAAAGGTTTTTCTATATATTGAAAAAGGAAGTAACCCAAAAGTATTCTCGGCCTGGTGTACGAAATCTCTAGGCATATAGGTAAACTAGTTTTTAGAGATAAAAAGGGAAAAATAAACCATACACCTTTTAAATTTGTAGCGTATAATATGACTGTGGATGTTGAGATTTACGTTAGACTGTCTTCCGCACTCTTACACACTAGAGGTGAAACGTGCTTTGAATCTCTGCCGAGTCTACTCAGTCTGGGCCTTAACTTTGTGCGTTTCACTGAGTACTACAACTAATCTACAGAATAAATGGGGCACCACCCCACTTATTTTATCTCTCTTTAAAATCTAGGGGCTCACCCACTTTCTTCTCTCTTTAACAGGGGCACTCCCTTTTCTCGGCTCAATCATGTACGCTGTCTGTGATTTCTGCTCTCCTTTTCCATTCTTCTCTCTCTCCCCCTCCTCTTTTTATCTTTCTCCCTCTATTTCACTCTTTTTCTACCTCTCTCTTTCGCTCTCTAAAAGGTGATAAAAGTCTGCCCCGTTTGTCATTTCTCTATTAGGAAGAGAGATTTCAGTGGAAAGAGGTGTGAGAAACAGATATGAAAGAAATAAGAGGGAGAGAGAGATCGTAGAGATGGATAAAAGAGAGGTGAGAGAGAGAGAGAAATCAAATAGTGGGCGTGGAGAGATCCATAAGGGGGACAAAAAGGAAGAGACGTGGCCAACGACCCCTCTCCCTTTTGCCATGGGTGCAGGGTGCTTTCTCATTTCTCATGAGCATGCGGTCAAAGTCCCCCTCCCTCTTTTTTATATTTGTTTTATGTTTTTACTATTTTTAATCTTACAATGTCATTTCTCCGGCGGTGCGCTCTGACCTACCCTAGTAGCGTCGGACTAGGACCTGGCCTTTGGTATGAGTCGAGTCCAAAAATAGTTCTTTATAATATATATATACTATGTTAAGTTTTGGATAAATCCAACTTAATGATTTTCAATGCAAATTTGAAAGATTTTCAAATGAAAATCCCTTGATCTGACACTATAAACTCGTTTATTAAAAAGATGATAGAGAAGTCGTGGGATCATTCAAATTATGATCTAGGGGTTGATCTATTCAAATGAATAGATCCATCTTTAAATCATTCGAAGGGCCAACATGATCTTTGCACCAAGATACTTGTTTGAAAATAGTATTTCTCTTGATATATAAAATTGATGTTACAACGGTGGATTTATACAGTAAGAATTGCATGTAACTGCAATATAAATTAGTAGTTACTAAATTTTTGAGATATGGTTTCTATATACTTTTAGTATAGAACTGTACATTATTTCAATGCATTATTCGATTAAGATGAAGGGTGCAGGTTGTTATATATATTGATGAAGAGTGTAGGTTGTTATATATGCTCACACTCTCTCTCAAACTTGAGATGATTTGAAATAAATGATGGAAAGTTTGGAAACAAAGCGCGTGAAGTGATGCAGAGAATGAGATTTTGTAAAGAAGTCCGCGAGTTGAGCAGCAAAAGGGGCATAGGGCAGAGAAATTGTGCCTGTCAAATATTTTTGTTAAATATATTGGCAATCAACTTCAATATGTTTGGTACATTTATGAAACTCCAAAATTTTTCAAATATAAATAGCACTCTTGTTGTTAAACACAAAGTGGAGTAGAAGTAGTAAGAGTGACACCCATGTCTGCAAGCAACCAACGTAGCCAAACATCTCAGTGGTAGTTTATTCTATAGCCCTGTATTCAGCTTTTGAGGTAGATTAAGAAATGTGTTTTTGTTTCTTACTTTTCCAAGATTTAAGAGAGTCTCCTAGAAAAATGCAGAACCTAGTGGTAAATTTTCAGTCACATGGATTCCCTACAAAATCAGAGTTTGTATAGGTTGGAGCTCAAGTGAGGAAGAGGATGAGAAAAATGAAGCCTGGTGAAGGATATCCCTGATATAACGAATGATATACAAGATAGCAATGAGATGAACCGAATAAAGAGCACTTAAAAATTGACTAACAATTGGTAGACCTGGGTTTTCTGCAAGTCCGAATGGGTCTCGGGTCGGTGACCCGGGTTCGGTAGGAAAGCCCCATTATACGATGAGTTACCTTTATTTATAGGCATCCACGAAAACATGGGTGGAAGCTCAAAAGTGGACTAAATTTGCTAAAAATACCATTTTTCTTGAATTAAAATGTAATTTCGTGTTAGTGAAAAGGGACCAAAATACTCCTTCCCACAATTGAAGAAATGACTAATTGGTCCCTTTTGAAGAAGGCCTAAGCCGTGGACACCATCTAGGGGCAATTTGGGGGCTTTTTAATGGCCATCTGAATAATCCGTTGCCGTATAAATGACACTCGAATTATTTTTGTCGTTTTGATATCCATTTCGATACCGAAATCGTATTTTTTTATGGCAATAAAAATATTTGCCACTTTCAAGAACATGGAAACTTTTGATTCTTCATGTAGACCATTATGTCATGTTTTTGGCAAATTATTTCATCACGACTTGGATAGAATCGCATCACGGTCATTTCATCAAAATTGATGGTCATTTGAACTTGTTACTAATTTAGAAAGTCGTCGGAAAATGAGATTTCGGCCACTGAAAAATGGGATTCCGGTGACCGAAAAATGTGCTATTTTCATGTTTAAATTGTTCTCAATCCGACCCTTCATCTCGCTTGAATTTTACCTCATATTTTTCATCTTCATCCCACGATCGCAACACATCTATTTTCATGACGATCCAATATCGGGATCTCAAAATATGCCCACTTGATCTAATGCCATTTTCTCCTTTTAGACCATTCAATTTCAAGCCAAACTTCTCTCTACGAATTCTCTTCACCTGCTCATCATTTAGGGGGTGGATTTATATCAAATTGTGCGCGTCACTGAGACGAACCTTGCATTGGAATTTGGGCTTGATCGGGTCTAAGGAGATATGTTCATTCAAAAATCAATCCCATGCTCAAAAGTAGCAGTTTCCATAAATGGAAACTGGTTCCCTACAGGCTCACCAGAATAGTGTAAAACCTGTCATTTTTGTGTAAGTTGGGCATACGGGGTCTAGAAGTGACAGAAATGGCTGAAAATTCCTATACAGGGGTTTTGAAACATTTTGAATTCAATGGTGGTGGTCTGGTGCTCATTTGAGATGTAAAAATTAGGGCTCTAGTTATGAGGTATTTTTCAAAGCAATCGGAGCTAAATTTTCGAATCGGATCTCGATCAGACATAACTTAAACTTGTCAAATAGGGCTGAAATTTGATCAGGATCCTTAATGTACCCCAAGCCATCATCCTATAAATTTTGGGGTTATTTTTACTTGGGGCTAAGTCAAATAAAAAAAATACCATATAACAACAATAAGAATTGCATAAGCAATATCTAGATGTGAGATTGTTAGATATATCAGTTTGCCAAACATTTGCCTGGAAAACGTTATATCAGGAAGAGGTTTACCATGTGTAGCCCAAAATTTAGCATTCAATTGAATAGGGGTATTAACTCTCTTTGTATCACCTTTTAGTCCAACTTGGGAAACAATTTTTTAGGCATATTTTAGATGTGAAAGCAGATACCCATGAGGGGAATATTCAACCTCTAATCCAAGAAAATAGCGCAAGAACCTCAAATATTTCATTTCGAAAGTTTGATTAAGCTTCTATTTGATTTTATGAATTGTATCCATATCATTACTAGAGATGATGATGTCTTCCACGTGTAGTAACAAGAGAACTCATCGTTCACAAGTTTTAGACACAAATGGGGCCGGATCATGATGACTCTGTTGAAACCAACCGATAGAAATTCACTGCGGAATTGCTCAAACTAAGCACGGGGTGCTTGTTTGAGGCTATAGAGGGTTCGTTGAAGTTTACACACCCTCTTTTATGAATCAATAACCCTATGAGGTAACTTCATATATACTTCTTTAGCAAGATTACCATTGAGAAAAACATTTTTAACATCAAAATGATAGAAGAGCCATTGCTGAATGGATGCTATTGAAATGAGTGTCCGAAAAGTAGTCATATGGGCTACTGGAGCAAAAGTTTATACTATGTCGATTCTATATTGTTGATTGTAACATTTTTCCACAAGGTGAGTGTTGTACCGTTTAAGGCTGTCATCTGCGTTTGTTTTGATTGACATTGAACAACAGTCTCACCTTTTGGAAGAGGTGCTAGTTCCTAAGCATGCATCGATCAAGAGCAGTTAACTCATCCATCATCGTCTGTTGCCATTGAAGTTTACTTGCAGCTTTTTTGTAAGTTTGGGGTTCAGAATAAGAACAAACAAAAGCAAGAAAGGCTTGCTGCTAAGGTAAAATAGTTTCATGGTCAACAAGTCGGGTAGGTGGTATAAAGACACGAGTGCTACGTCTAAGAGCAAGGAGTGACATAAGATCAGCAGTTGCAGGGTTTTGATGAGGACTGTTGACATGAGTTCGTTGAAGTAAGAAAAACAATAATTGGATTTAAGGGTATGCTATGAACAATATTAGGGAGTTGAATGTCTACAAAATACATTTCAAAGGAAAAAAATGGATGCTCTCGGAGCTTTATAAAGGAAAAAAGTGGATGCTCAAAAAATTAATTTAATGTACATTTTATGTCTTTATTTGAACTTTTGGAATTGTTCAAGGAACACTTGCCTAAGCATACTTTGGTAGGAGAAATTTTTTTGGCGAGTTGGCTTTCTCATATGTCTATCTTCGTTCCCAAGGTTTCTAGAATCCGACACATATATCCGTCCTAGATTTTCAAGGTGTTTAGGATCCGGATATTTCTTAGATACTGCAAATCTAATTCCACTTTTACATATATGAATTTGGAGCTCCAAAAATACTATAGTAATGATTTTTATGAATTGCAATGAACAATTCTACAAAAAAAAAAAAGTATAAGACAGGCCATTTTTAAGATTCAAATTCATATTATTCGTTTCTTGAGATACATAACTACTGTAATTGAGATAGGATCTTTAAAATTTGGGGGCTAAAATCCTACTCTCAGATGGACTTGGAAGAATGAACTCACTTCAATATGCACCTGAACCCCACCCTTTATGTATTGTGATGATCCACACTTTCTAGTACTCAAAACCAATGTTCTTGGTGGAACAACTCTGCATATCGTTTGACAGGAAAGTTATTTTGAGAATTGAAAATCTACTTTACGCACTGTGAGTATTTCTTGGGGTGCTTATACAAGCTATCCACCATCTGAGTTTATTCATGAATAAGGGAACATGGGATGATATCGAGAATGGGCTCTAGGCAAAGATGGTCAGGATGGTGAGTGCCGCATCGTGATGTCTAAAGTTCTATCTCTCCAGCTCCCATGCTAACATTAAAATAAAAGTTCGACGCCAATGGCTGTTGAAGTTGTAAACGGTGGCTGGTAGGGCAGAGTATTATGAAGAGAAATCGAGTATTATGAAGAGAAATCAAGTATTTGGAGTGGCGTAACAAATAAATTAAGGATATCATTTAAATTTTGCATTCATCTCTAATTTAAATGGAAAAATAAAATAAGGATATCATTTAAATTTTGCATTCATTTCTAATTTAAATGGAAAAATAAAATAAGGATATCATTTAAATTTTGCATTCATCTCTAATTTAAATGGAAAAGACACTCTATGCTCCAGTACCAGTCTCTCTCTCTTTTAGGCTAAGTTGGGAAAACAGAAAGGAAAAGCAAGAGTAGTTAAAAAGTTATGGTACATTTTTGTCTTCATCATATTTTAGAAATTTTCCCTCTCAATATGAATTCTGCTTGGGTTGTTTTGCGAAAGTTGTGGCGAGGGATATTATATATATATGGAAAACGTTTTTGTATGCCTATATGGATACCACTACAGTAAACGATCAATGGTTTAGATCGAATCTAGGTTGATCTAATGGTCATAGTTATTTGAGAGTGTTTTAATTTTAGTTATTTTTTTACAAATTGGAATGATCTAAAATTTGGAGTGTGTATACATCTTAGTGAGGCGCACCTAATAAAAATATATAAAAAATAATATGTAGAAACTAAATTAACCAAAATAACTTTGAAACTTTTTTGGGTATTTTGGGCAATTTATTTCATGTAAAATATTATTTTGATATTTTTCGTAGATTCACCTATTTTTGATGAATACACGCTTTAAATTTCAGATCATTCTAATTTGTAGAAAAAAAATAAAACACTATCAGACATTTGTGATCGTCAGATTGATCCAGATTCGATATGGGTCGTTCGG